ATCATCAGTTTTAAGGGTGGCCCTACCAGGACTGCCCCAGTCAAGAACAAGTCTCATCAAGGCCATTCAGGGCTCCTGTCCCGTGGTGATTTTGGAGAACTGTAGAGCCCAGTGGGCTCAGTTTCTGTGGCCAGGCGCTTTCTGTTTCTTTCTATCTCCCTAGCCCTACAACTTGCCCAGAGCCTTAGGACCTGCATGGTGAGCAGCAACAATTTGTGCGTGTGTGTGCCAGGGACCCTGACCTCAGGCCTTGGAGTCCAGCAGTGAGCCTGACTCTGGTCTTCCATATCACTTGGAGCAAAACTCGCCTGTGACTTCAGTGTCCCCCTCACCTTTTTGAATTTCTTTTTTGATTTTGATTTTTACATTTTCTAATTGCTATGTGTCTGGGGCAAAGGGAAGCCAAAGAGTCATCTTGACTGGATGGCTGTTGCACAGCCATTTTGCTATGATATTACTTATGGCTCCCTGCTTTCAAAAAAGATATTTGTTCTTCAGCAAAAAATGTGTTTAATTGGACATGTTCAAGACTACCAAAACATCTACAGACCCTAACTGATTGCATCCTAGAAGTTCCATAAAACAACTCATCAAGACGTGGAAAAACAGATAAGAATGGAACAACAATGGAAACGTTAAAGCAATACACCAACAGGTACAAAGTTATTCACAACCCACCGAGCAGTTACATGATATGCAAATAGTAAGTACATCTTCAGTGTGGAAGGCCTACTTGGGGGAGTTGTAAACAGAAAGAAATTGAGCTCCTCTCCCATCATCTACAAGTTTTCAGGGGAGAAATGGAATTCTAGGATTTGACCATGTGTTTTCCGTATGTGAGCAGGCTCTCTACAGTTTATTTAAATTTAATTCCACTCACAAATATTTATTGTGATAGGGCGCTAGAGAAACATAGCTGAGTAAAACAGTCTCTGACAAGGAATTCACAGCTGGGGACTGCATGGAGAGACATACAAACAAATAATGACATTTCGATGGGATGAGTTATAACTCATGGGATCAAAACATAATGATGTTATACTCATCATGATGGGATGAGTATGATATAAGGGTCTACATAGAGCTTTACAAAGACACTGGTGTGGGAGCAACAGTTAATTGTATTGGTTGCTTGTCAGCGAAAGTAGCAAAGACAAGGTGATATTTAAGCTGGAGTTTACGTGGCGAGTAGGCGGTCGCCTTGCAGGTAAAGGCTGATTGGCTGCAGAGACCAGGGCTGGGGCAGCGTTCTAACGGCGCGCCCAGTAGATGGTCAACGCACCCGGCCGATAGGAGGCCCCATCTCTGACCCCGCAGAGGTTGGGGGTTTGCCGGCCGCCAGGGGGCGCCGTGGCATCGCGTCGTCCCGTCCGTTGTGTTTCCGGGCACCGGGGCCCAGCGCCGCCATCGCCGCCGGGTGCGCGCCCGCCGCGCGCCGCGAATCGCCTGCCGCTCCCGTTACCGGGGCAACTGCGGCGCCTCCTCCGCCCCGGCCCCGATCGTCTCTCCGCGCCATTTTCAAACTGCCCTAGCGCCGGAGCCGGTGTCCGGGGCGGAAGGAGCAGCGAGGGAGGCGAGGCCCGGGGGGCGATGCGGCCGCAGGCGGAGCGAGCGGCGGCCGGAGCT